CATCTTTTTAGGCATGATCTAAATTATGGTGTTTTTTCTATATTTATTTTAAACAACTTCCAAGATTCATTTGGGAATAATGTGACAAAACCCCATATAATGTTGTTAAAAACTATGAGTAATTTCACGTAAGAAAAACATATTGGGTATATGTTGATTATAATGAAGTGTATTAAATATTTTTCTATTAAATCCTAGAGTTAAATTTATTGTGGATTTAATAGATAAAAATAAAGAAACTAGAGATTGTCCATCTTGAGAAATTGAGATTAATTTCTTGTGATCTTTTTATAACTTTTATAAAGTCGTATGCATAGTGAATCAGATAATCTAACCCTCACATAAATGTAGACATCTTTTTGGACCGAATTGCATCAACAAACAACAATTTTGCTCTTATACTCTATTTATTTTTGTTGTTGATCTGACTGGTTGGCTTTTTTTTACACTTAGGCGGTAGATTCGTTCTTTATTTAGTATTTATTTGTTATATTTTTTAGTTGAATTTCGATTGCTATTTTTTGGATTTTTTAATAACGCAAACACTAAAATGGTTGTACTTAACACTTTTGAGAGTAGTTAAGGAACCTACAGTTAGAGGATAAAGTTTCTTTTTCGGCATAATCACTTGTGGAAGAGGAAATCATTGTTGGAAGCTATTGGTTGATACCTTGGCTAAATTTTTAGATCAACGGAAAATTTAGATCGCTTAATGGAACAATATGGACAAATCAACTGAAAATTCAGTTCTTTAGGTCCAAACTATATTTGATATATGCATCGACGATAAAAAAAATATCAGTAGCATAGACGAACAAACTTTGATTAGGCTAACAAAGACGTAATAAACCTCTACAAATTTGGGAATGTCAACATCTCCGTCTCCTTCCAATAGTTTTTGAGACACACTCATTGATTATATTGAAATACAAATGATAATGGCACAAAATATATATGGGGATACATGATATCAATTATAAATTCTCTCGACAACTCATCGATATTATTAAATTCAAGATTCACATTAAGATTTATAAAGTCAGAGATTTGAATACTAAACATTCGATTTCTATCACATAGGCAATACACGTAGATAAAGTTCCTACTTCAATGTTACAGGTAACATGATGGAGTCCTGTTAAAAAAATAGGTAGCTGGACTTACCCTGAATTGATGAAGAACCTATACCTATAGAGAAAAGGAAAATAATGGAAATTATCATAGAAAAAAAGTATGTCATATCTGAAAATAAATGCATGGGATAATGGGGAATTAATATCCCAATGGGTGAATAAATCTCCAACTTATATTCCTAAAAGGGAACTGGTTAGTTAGTTATAAGGTATATCATTTGATCAAATCACTCAAGATATGGTTAAACGTCTTAACTCTTCATTCATTAAAACTTCAATCAATGGTAAGATGTTTAGTCGGCTTTTTTTCGTTGATGGGGTTGTCCTAAATGTCTTATCACTTATGAATTTGAAGAAGTCGGATAAAAGAACGGAAGACATGATCCTAAACAATTTGAAAATTGTTGATTCCAGTGTTGTAGCATCAAATGCACTAGAATTTCTCATATTTAATATTGTGGTGGATCCTAAAAAGGGAATCTAAACTTTCTTTGTTATGGATGGAAATCCTTCATACTTTATCATTTGGAGAAGAGTTTGGATTCATATTATCATACCTCAAATTTTACCCCTTAGATGTCATCAACATTTACATGAGCATCATAGGTCAATCATCCTTTCATCACTAACCAAATCATCTAGCTTTGTGACTTTGTTTGTTTTATGGAATTAGGGTTTGGGAAGAAAAGGAGAAAGTCCTGATTAATCAAGAGTTGAGTGAAGAATCAACCAAGGAAGCCCTCACACATTTCATGGGTCCCTAAGAGGTCATTTGGTCCAACAAAATCCAAGTCAAGAGTTCCTTAAGTGGATAGGAGAGACATTGACTTCATCTGATTTAAAAGTCAACAGAGACATCACAAAAGTCAACCCTTGAGTTTTATGGTCAACTCTAAGCTTTAGAGGTCTTAGTCTATGATCTCATTAGGTTGGATTATCAAAAGTCAAGTTGGAACAATAAAATCAGGAGATGTGAAAAATTAGGGTTTTCTGGATAAAGATTTCTAAGTTAAAAAGTCAACATTTGAAGTGATTTTCAAGGCCAAATTCAAGATGGTCCCAAGAGTAATTTGTATTTGTCATCAACATGAAAATTGTAGATAATTCCTTTAGCTTTAATTTTATACCAAGAAATCCTCAAGATCATTTTTAGAATTCATGTTATGATGTTTTCAAGTGGAGGTCAAAGTAGGGAAAAACCTAGGGCAGCATTTTTGCAAGAATTTCCAACCAAGGCCTCATGGGTTTCTTGACCTCAAATCAAAATTCATGCAACATGAACGTTTTTCCTCTTGATCTAAGCTTTCTAGGAATATAAAGAAGTTTTCAATTGGATCAAAGAGTGAGAATTTATGGCATCACAAAGTTTGGTGATTTTGAGCACAAGTTAGGTAACTTGCCTTAGTTGCCAAGGCACTTAAAATTCATGTTTTTGATCAACTTGCAAGCCCTCTTTATGATAGTTTCAAGCTTCAAATCCAAAAGTATAAAATATCAAAGTTGTTCTCCTCCATTTCAACTTTCCAAACATATGAAGAACTCCTTCATTGGAATTCTACAACTCAAGCTTTGGTTTGATGAACATGGGTGTCAAAACTTGCCCAAGTCATGACCAGACCATGCGTGCTAAGACCTAGGTCAGCAAGCTGGATCACTTTTCATGTCCAAATTTTATCATGTTACAAGCTTCAAATCAAAAGGTCTCAAACATGAAAGTTGTTCAATTACATGCCCTCTTGCCAAAGACCCCAAGATCTCCTTAATTGAGTCATTATTCACGGAGATATGAGGTGATAAAATAAACACCATGAACCTTGTCTTACCTTTCCACCATGCCCAAGCATCATGACAAGACTTTGACAAAACTTTTCAACATCCAAAGCATTGATTCAAGTGCATCAAAACCTACAAGTTGAATCCCTAAGTTTACCATTTTGAGCTCTCTCTCTCTCTCTCTCTCTCTCTCTCATGACACAACAAAAGCGCATTATGACACCAACATGAAAGCATGTGTACACCAAATTTGCCGCTCATATTCTTGGGACTTTCTCTTATTTTAGGCTGCAATGTCCTGCCACAAACCAACAAAACATATTCCCCCAACATCTGAACCATGAGCAGCTCGAGCAACACCCCTATCATGTGTCACTTTCTTCATATTTTGACCAAGGATAATTCAAACTTCTGAACATAAAAAAGACATTTATGGATAACCAGAAGGGATAGACAAGAGGAAGAGAAAAAAACTCAGAGGAGAGAAGAGCATAAAAACCTACTTTTGAGCAAGCCACATAATCCTTTGTTTTAGAAAGAATTCCTCTACAGTATTGGCTATTCATAAAAAAAAACTCAAAAAACACCATAAACCTTCATGAGACACCACCACTAATTGATTTCAATCCTCAAACACAAGTTGCAACATCATTTCCATCATCCACTATTGTTATCCATATTTGAAACAAGCACTATTAGGTTTGGGGAAGGAAGGTTCTTCCAGGCCAACTGATCACTCATAACCAGTTTCTAGGAGCAAAGAAGGTGGAGTAGCATCTCATCTTCACTTTACAATCACTGTTGGAGAGACCTTGGATCAGCTCCAAGAGGTAACCTTTATTTTCCCTTAAACTCTTCATGTTCACGTCATCTTCATTAGTTTTGTGAAGGAAAAATGTTCTTTGAGCTATTTACATCACTTTTAAACCATTACATGTGCTACTTGATTTGAAAAGGTTGATATTTCTCACTTGAGCCATGTTTGGTACCCACGGGTTTGACTTAGTTTTGCGAAATGTAGGTTCATTTTTAGAGCATTTATTTTTTGTATTCTTATTCCTGATGAAAAATGGATCAAGTTTGGTTTTGGAATTTTTCATTTTCATGCTAAGATGATGGAGTTATGTGTTGTTGATATTATGATTGTGTTGTTGTTTGTGTGAGAAGAAACAAAATCTGAGTGAGAATAAGAAACGAAGAAGAAGATGATGATGTGGATGTCACTTATGCTGACATGGCCAAGTTCATTTGTTTTCAGTATATTATTATTTTTGGGTGGCTTATACAACAGGTGTATAGCCATCCCAGTGGTAGAGGCAGCGCGCATTTGGTCTTGGGAGTCTGGGGTTCGACTCCCCCCTCGCCCCAGACTCTTTTGTTCCTTTTTTTATTTTTTTTACTTTTTGCCTTGACTTTCATATTTATTTAATGTTGATCATAATGTTATCTGAAATGCACAGTGGTTGGTTTGGTAAATTTTTGATCTCTGGGTAAGACAGCATGGGTTCAAACCATCCAAATGCATTTCCTTACTTTTTATTTATGGTTTCTCATTTTTCTTCACAAAACTAAGCGATGTGGGACTTCTTTAACATGTATATTTTCAACCAACCCCAATAATCTTCACCTTGATTGAAAATAATACATAAGCTTTCATTGTCTTCACCGACAACCATACTCCACCATAAAAAGTATAGTCACCTGAAGCTATACCACTCCAAGAATTTTCACATTGTCTTCACCGACAATCATAGTTTTAAAAAACTATCATACTCCATGTAAAGAAGAGTATACTTCACTTGAAGTTAAACCACTTCAAAAATTTCTTCATGTCGAAAACCAGGTTGAAACTTTATGGTGCAACTTCCTTGTTAGTAGGAAGCTCTTCAACCATTAATGTCCATGTGTTAATCCGCTAGCAATAACACGTCTTTTTCCATGACAGTGGAAATGTCATGAGGATTCACTTCTCAATTTTCAGAGAAGATCATCCTCTCTCACAGCCAGAGAGACATTACTAGCATTTGACTTAGAGCCCTTCTCTGGCGCATCCCCATCATGACACATGTACTTTATATGTCCAAGCTTTCCACATTACCAACATCTCACACTCGCTTCATTATTTTTCTTCACATACGACCTTCCTCTAGTAACCAACACTGAGTTGGATGAAGTATTTTCCTCACCCTTCAATCTTCTTTCTTCAGAAATAATCTTACTAACAACTTCTTCAAAGTTCAAATTTTCCTTCCCATATATTAAAATAGGTATAATATGCTCATAGGAAGAAGGAAGAGACCATATGAGTCTCAAAGCTTTATCTTCATCATTAATCTTGACTCCAATAGTTTCTAATTCGTAAACAATACCATTTAGAACACTTAGATGATTAGATACTTTCGTATGCTCATCCACATGCAAGTTATGAAACTGATCCTTCAATAATAAACGATTTGATATATCATTTCCTAAATATAGCCCTTCAAGTTTCTCCCAAAGCTCTTTGCCTGACGACATACCAAGAACATTTGCAAGAATATTCTTAGCCAAAGACATGCAAATTGTACTCAAAGCTCTCAAATCAAATTCCATCCACTTCTCGTTGTCCATGTTGGAAATGTTTCTTTTCAATGCCTTGTGTAATCCTAATTGTATCAAAACATCTTTGACTTGAAATTTCCACAAGCCAAAGTTAATTATTCCATCAAAATTCTCTAAGTCAATCTTCACTACACTTAAAAAACTTGACATTTCAACCAAAACCTTCCCTGCAGCTGATAAATGTTAAATTGTACCGATTTTGAGTGTGAATAATTGGCACTTATTGGCTCGATTTGGTGGTTTTCCGTTAATAATACCTCATTTTTGTGTATATTTTGTATATTTTACATTATAGTGTGTAATATGCATTTTTGTGTACATATTGTTGAGTTTGACAGTTTTTCATCTGTTTTTATAGGTAATAATGCATGGTTGAAGTATGGACTCGTTTGAGCCAAGAGGGATGTTTCAAATGCATAATTTTTGAGTCAAAATACTGTCCTTAGTGCAATTTTTAGCGCGCTAGGAACTGGATGACAGTAGCTGGAGTATTTTTGTTTTTCTAACCGCGCTTAGCGCGAGCAGGACCATGCTTAGCACGCTTTAAGGAAGTTTAAAGGTATTTTTAAGTGATATCGCGCTTAGCGTGGTTATAATAAATATTATTCTTTCTAATTTTATTTTATCTCATTTTTGTAGGTGTTCAAGCAAGGATATTTTTTTATTATCATATAGAGCATTGAATAAGTTTTCCAACGCTTGCAATCGTGCGTTAATCATAGTTACGATTCAAAAGTTATGAAGAAAATAAGAATTATGGTTTTGCTGATGGCGCTAAGCGCCCTCATAGGGCGCTTAACGCGGTTCACATTATTTCAACCTCTATTTAAGTCACTTTTCAGCATTTTTAGGTTATGTTTTTGGGATCTTTTAACCCCAACTTCGTCAAACACATTTTTTGAGTTTAGAGAGCTTTGACAACATCAATGGAGGTTGCAACTTGATGATCCGAGATTGAAGCTTCTTTAATCGTGATTGACACTGCAATAGATTTTGATTCTTCTCCTTTCTTCCCTTTGTAGTTTCTATTTGTGGGGTTTGTATGCAAGTTTACTATGATTTTACGTATATGTCTTGATCATGGCATTATATACAAGCTATTTTACAAATCTTTATCGGTGTTATCCTTGTTTTACTCGCTTTATGTTTGGACTTGAGTTAGGGTAGACATATCCTCTTCGAATCTGGATCTAGGATGAACATCTATTAGATTCTTAATGCTCCATGTTGTCGAGTTGCGTGAGACATCATCGATGAGGCGATGCAGTTGTTCTCTCAACTTTGCGTTAGACATAACCTTTGTTGTGAGCGATATGAGAGGGCATTGATGAGCAGTTTAGGTTGTGTACAACTGATTGGTAGATTGTGTATTTAATGGGTAGAAGGAAATACAACTCGTGTCGAGTTTTCTCCTCTCTAAAGAATGTATTTATTTCTTGTTCATATGTTTTCTATTTTCATTTTTGCTCTCATACCATTTAAATCCAAGCTTAGAAATGTAGAAATTGTCGAACGACACTCTTTCCCTCGAACCGATCCGTGTGGAGACGAAAAAACTGGGTACTAGATTAATTTTTGCTTGCCGCTTTACCGCTGCAATAAAATGGTACTGTTGTCGGGGATTGGTTTTGATATTTAATCGCATTGTGATAGTTTTTATGTTTTTAAGCTTTGTACATACTTGTCCATGGTTGTTTTTCATATGTGATTGTACATATTTGTTTCCATTTCGTTTGTTCACTTATTGTACATATGTGTTGTCCATCATGTTTGTGTATGTGTTTGTGCATATTTTTGTTTTTGGTTTACGTTTACTCAAGTGTTGCAGGTTTTATTCAGTATCTTTCGGTAAAGAAAGCAACCTGAAGGAGCTTGTACATAAATAAGACGTTAAGATTACGACGTGAAACAAACGCTTGTTGGGAGGAAAACCAACAGTTTTTGAGCTTGTACGGTTTTATATTTAGTAGTATAGTTAAAATAAGGTGAGAGTTGATGGATTGATGAGAGAAAGAACTTGAAAAACTCAGCAAGCTTGTGCGCTTAGCGTGCACAGGGGGCGCTTAGGGCGCCTTGATTTTTGTGGAAAAACTCTGTTATCCTCTTATCCACTTTCACCCATTTTATTAGTATATGTTTATTAGTTTTTATTTGACTTTTTAGTTTTAGAAATTTTTGTGTTTGTTCTCAAGTTTTGTTTTTGATTAGCTTGAGGATGCATTGTGTGATTTTTCAGTTTTGATTGTTTTAACAAGAAAATTTTATGATATTGTGAAAAGTTTAAAGAAAGTTGTGTTGCTATGGCTTGTGTTTATTGCTTTCCTAGAACATAATATATTTATGAAGCTTAGGCTCTATACAACTTACATGTCATTCATTCTCTTGCCATTTTTGTTCATTTGTGAATCATTTTAGTTCATAGCTCATTGTGAGAAACCTTGATTGTTTACTAAATACTTGGATGACAGATAACTTTGTTAATTTATTTGATTCATGCTTAATCTTTTGATTATTTTGATTTTGTGGAAGCATCAGAAATGATCAAGGCATTTGTTTATATTGAGCATAACCATATCCAAAAGTATCTTACCCCTGAGTAGTGAGTATTCGTTAACCCCTTTGAGCCTTAACATATTAGATCCTAATTTGGTGATGAACTTGGTGTGTGTATATAAATTAAAAGTTTAGTTCATCATTGAATATTGTGGGATTCTAAATTTTTTCTTCAAACCTTTGAACAATGTTTTAAATTGATTTCCTTGCCATAAAAAGTAAGGAGCATTCACTTGAGGTTTGATGGTATTAAAGTTGGGGAGAATGAAAGAAAATGGTAGGTTACTAAAAATTTTGAAATTTTTTGAACAAGCATAAGAAAATTGTGAATATGAATGTGAAAAACAAAAGAAAAATATGCTTGGTTAAAAAGAAATAAAAAATAGAGAATGAAAAATAATTGTGAAAAGGAAGTTTGGAAAGTGTGAGAAATAGAGAAAAGAAATTGGTGAATGAAGTTGTGATGTGTAAATACTATGTATAGTGAATGTTTCTTTTGCGTGACATCTTCAATTCAATAGCCTAAGAAATGACCCTTTATTGTGAAACCTGGCTACAACCTTTCAAACCCTTACTGATCTTCTTGCTTCCATTATTTCATTTATGATTGTTAGATGAATATATGAATTGAACTATTGTTAGCATTGTTTTTCAGATGAGTGTAATTGTCTTGCGGTTGCAACCGCGTAGATTTCTTCATCCTTATTCTGAAGAGGAGTGTTAGGTATGATTCATTCTTGAAAATTTGTATTGCTTTATAATTTTTGACATGGTTTTTGTGCTTATACTTTGTTTCATAATCATGGTGTCGTTGTAGTTTAGTGGTAAGCATTGCTTTGCATGTACTTTTGATATTTGTACGATACATTTATTTTCCGTTTGTAAAAACTTGTTGAGCATGATTTTTTGATAATTGCTTTGATTTCTTCGAGTTGATTGACTCTTGTTTAAGGACAAACAAGTTTAAGTTGGGAGAGTTGATAAGTGCTAAATTGTATCGATTTTAAGTGTGTATAATTGGTACTTATAAGCTCGATTCGTTGGTTTTATGTTAATAATCCCCCATTTTTGTGTATATTTTACATTATAGTGTGTATTATTTATTTTTATGTACATATTGTTGAGTTTGACAATTTTTCATCTATTTTTATAGGTAATAATGCATGGTTGAAGTATGGTCTCGTTTGAGCCCAGAGGGATGCTTCAAATGTAGAATTTTGGAGTCAAAATATCGTCTTTCGCGCTTAGCGCAATTTTTCGCACGCTAGGTGTTGGATGGAAGTAGTTTGTGTATTTTTATTTCCCTAACAACTCTTAGTGTGAGCAATACCATACTTAGTTCACTTTAAGGCGGTTTAAGGGTATTTTAAGTGAGATCGCGCTTAGCACGATCTTAGCGCGCTTAGCACAGTTGTAATAAATAGCATTCTTTCTAACTTTCCAACGCTTTCGACCGTGCGTCAATCGAAGTTACTGTTCAAAAGTTTTGAAGAAAATAAGAATTGTGATTTTGTTGAAGGCGCTAAGTACCCTCATAGCGCGCTTAGCGTGGTTCGCGTCATTTCAGCCCTTATTTAGGTCACTTTTCAGCATTGTTTTGGTTATATTTTTAGGATCTTTTAACCTCTACTTCATCAAACACATTTTTGGAGTTTAGAGAGTTTTAACAACATCAATGGAGGTTGCAACTCGATGATCCGGGATTGAAGCTTCTTTAATCGTGATTGACATCGCAAGAGATTTTGATTCTTCTCCTTTCTTCCCTTTGTAGTTTCCATTTTTGGGGATTTTATGTATGTTTATTCTGATTTTACGTATATATATATATATATATATATATATATATATATATATATATATATATATATATATATATATATATATATATTGATCACGGCATTGTATACGAGCTATTTTACAAGTCTTTATTAGTGTTATCCTTATTTTACTCGCTTTATATTTAGATTTGAGTTGCGGTAGACATATCCTCTTCGAATCTGGATCTAGGATGAACATCTGTTAGGCTATGAACTCTAGAGATAGATTTAGATCTAACATTCACTGTGGGTAATGATTCTTAATGATTTGTGTTGTCGAGTTGTGTGAGACATCATCGATGAGGCAATGCGGTTGTTCTCTCAACTTTGAGTTAGACATAACCTTTGTTGTGAGCGATACGTGGGGGTATTGATGAGTGATTTAAGTTGTTTACAACTGATTGGTAGATTGTGTATTTAATGGGTAGAAAGAAATACAACTCGTGTCAAGTTTTCTCTTCTCTAAAGAATGGTTTATTTTCTTGTTCATATGTTTTCTTTTACCACTTTACTCCCATACAATTTAAAACCAAGCTTAGAAACATATAAATTGTCAACTGACACTCTTTCCCTCGAACCGATCCCTGTGGAGACGATAAAACTGGATACTAAATTAATTTTTGCTTGCTGCTTTATCGC